GATATAGTGGAATTAAATGATTCAACTAATTTTCAAATATTTCATGGTTATAAGTGAAATAAGATCCAAAAATTTCAAACTTTTGTTTAATCTTCATATTTTTACTTAAACTTTTTTTGTTTGATTTAAACAATAGTCCTTTTCTTATTGGATTTTTAAGGTAGTTTTAGAAATAAAAAAGTTGATGTGAATTAATAAATAAATTATTAAATAATTTAAAAATGAGCATATTTAATAAATAGTAATACTTAAATTTTATATATCATTACTTAATTAAACTGAAAATATTTGTATATATATTTCAAAAATAACAAGGTTATTTTATATTTATTTACTATAATATTTTAACTATTAATTAGTTTTCAATGATTATTTTTTATAAATAAAAATTGACTTAGTAAACAGAAATTATTAAAGCCTACGTACTATGATATTATGGTTTATTAATTTAGTTATTCTTTGTAATTATAATTTATAACACAATTTAAAAACCTAAAACACATCAATCTATTTTTGAAAAACAAAACTAGTTAAAAAGATACCCTATTATCACATGAAAATCAACTTATTTCCATGATATCTTTTGTATTTATTATTGAAATTTTGGAATAATAATGATAAGTTTCTACTTGATGGAAATAAAAAATGATAAAAATTAATGACATTATATATTTCCAAAGATATTTCATAAAAAATCTATAAGTAGCAATATCACGAAGAAATTAAATAATTAAATTTGAATGCTCAAATCCAAATTAAAAGTTATTTAAGAAATCAATATTGAAAAACATATAATAGGACAACAAGGATTAAAACGAATGGATTTGAGACCTAATTTATTAATAAAATATATAAGTTAATCTTTAATGATATGGCTTTTAAATTAATAAAGTTTTGTGATATCCATTAATAGAAAAGACTATAATTATTTTTGATGAAATTTAAATTATATTATTTTATATTAATAATTTTAAATATATAAATGAGTAATTTTTTTGGAAATCTCTTCGGTTCTCTTTTAGGAGAAAATAAACAACATCAAATAATAGATTTAAGTCAATAGCTTGGTAATGAAATTCATGATTTCAAATAGCATTTAATAACTGATGTTGATTTACTAATAAAATTAGACAAATATATAATTATCATTTTATTAGTTTTAGGACTCTTAAATTTTATTATATTAGGATTTCTCATTCAATTATGTAGAGTGAAAAAATATGGAAGCAACCAAAATGGTTATTATTAACTTCCTATTTAAGATTAATTTGATAATAAATAATGAATGTGAAAATTATTTAATATAAATGAAATAAAATTAAAATTTGATTAAGATTATTCTAAATTCTTTTTCATTCTCAACTTTCTCGAATATGTTCTTTCTTTTTAAAGCATAATCAAAAAATTAATAAAAAATAATTATATTAGATTAGTAATGACTATTATGATAATTAGTAAATGTTATTTTATGTTACATAATGTTATATTCAATTTAAATGAAGGAATAATAATAATTCTTTTGTAAACATAAAGATTCCTTTTTATTTAGTTCAATAAGAATGTGTTAAATTTCAGAAAGAGTACTATAGTCAAATACTCTTTATTTAATCTTAATACTTATTATCTAATGACATATATTTGTTTTAAGTAATCTGATATTTTGAAATGTTATCATAATTACAAAAGAAATGTTTTTAATTTAAATCTAATCAAAAAATTAATTTTATTAAGAATATAATTATGATATTTACTTATCTGAATCATTTCTTTTACAAATTTAGAAAATAACAATTAAGATATTTATCACAATTGGAAAATAAATCAAATTTATTAAATTGATGTTTTAATAATAAACAATTGGGTTATTGTAAAGTAATCTTTTCAAAAGTATGCCATGCTATATATTAGGATGATAGAAGGTATTTAATAAATGTAATAAATAAATTAGAGGTTTTTCCATATGAATTACAAAGAAATTAAGCAAAATTGATAAAGAACTCATTTTAGAATGGCTTATAATTTTTTTTTAGTAGAATCAAATTAAGATCCATATTATCAATTGCATTAATGAAAAACAATTATATATTTATTTGTCTAAAGTCGAATAAATTAGCAAAACTTAAATAAATGATATCAGTTGTATGAGTTTACCTTACTTTTTTTATTAAAGAAGCGAAAAATCGATCTATTTTTGGGTGAATATTAGTCAAGATGAGAGAATTAAATAAAATATGATTCTTTGGAAATATGAGATGATATACAATATTAAAAGGATTAAGAATTTCTAATTATTTGTTAAATATTGTAAAGAAACCTTTAAGATGTAGAAGTTCTTGAATTTATTTATTTTTTATTTTAAGAAACACTTAATTATCAGAATCAAAATGTAGTAATTTTATCTTTCAAATCAATATAAATGTTATTTACTCTTTTTTTTTCTTTTTTAATATTTGTGAAATGGATATAAAAATGTAATGATACATAATTAATATTTAGTATAAAAAGTGTATAATAAAATAAAAAAAGTGGTTTAGAAAATATCAAAAGTAAAGTTGGAAAAATTTATAATTACATTGAATATCAAACATTCTTATATTATTAATAAAAAACATAAAATTACAAATGTTATTTTAAATATATATACATATCTAGTTCTCAATTAGTAAATGCAAGATTTTGAGAATTCAAAAATGATACTTTAATTAAAAATTAACTTAAATATTTTTATAATTTATTTCAAAAATAAATCTCCCCAGCTTTTTCATTAAAAATAAAATATTCTTGAAATCAGTTTAAAGATTTTTATTCCTTAAAAATATAAAATATGATATTCAGGCTATAAGATTAGTATCGATTTATTTAGACTGGCATAAAGGCTTTTATGTTAATATATTAAGTAGGCACGAATATTAAAATTTCTTCTATTAGTTAACAACTATAATAAACGAAATAAAATTTTATATATTTATTGATGGACATATATTTGTGTACGATTTAAAGCCTAATCGCTCTTTCTGATAGGATAATGAAATTTTCATTATAATTAAAAGCTAGTTGGATATCTACTAATAAAAATTAAAATTTTACAAAAATTGCAATATTCTACAATTGATTATTTTCATATGAAGCTTCAAATGAGTTTAATAAAAATACTATTGATATTAATTTGCTTTCTAAAATCAAAGTATTAAAAAAAATTATAAAGAATCTTTTTAAAGATATTAAAGTTATTCTAAAATAATTTATTTATCACTTTTTGATTAAATATTTCTTCAAACAAAAAAATTTCAAGTGGAAATCAATTCATGGCTTCCTTTTAACAAAAAAATGATGACATAAAACTTGCATTATACAAGATAGTCTCAGAATACAAACAATTCATCTCTCAAGAAATCCAAAGACAAAAACAAGAAATAAAAAAAGCAAAATAAAGTTCACTATTTACATTTTATTTCTTCTTTAGCTATTATAAACAATAACATGAATTGGCTTAGAATAAATATTCCAGAAATCCAAAATTAATAAATAGCTATATAAATGAAAAAAGTAATAAGTATATAAATAATTAGCGCTATTTAATATCTATCAATTCTAGAAACATAAGTAGAAAATTTTTAATTTACAAATAATTAATTGAATTTAATTCCTAGAATGAAGCTCTGAAAATAGATAAAATTTAAACTGATTAGATAATTGGAGACTAAGAGAATGCATAAATTTATGGTTAAATGTATTTACTATTTACAAGGATAATTAATAGAGGATATGGAAAATTTTAGACAAGCTGTTAAGAATTTTATTTTGATACCTAATATTGGTACATATCTCATTTTATTTCAATTTAGCCTAGGTTTTAATCAAATAAAATAGATTAGAAGAAGCATTGATTGTAATTGAAAAGGAAATTAAATAAAATCCTAAAGATCCAAGAAATTATGAAGAAAAAGGTAGAAAGAATAATAAATAATTTATTAAAGCAAATGTTCTATTGTTGATGAATCGACTTACAGAAGCTCTTGAATTTTCTGAGAAAGCAATCGAAAAGGATTCTGACAATGCAAATAATTATGCAAGGAAAGGTTAAATATATTTACAATTATCTGTTAGCTTTTACATTACTATAGCTTAAGAGAGGCTAAGATGCTTTAGATTATTTTAATATTGCTATTTAAAAAGATCCTAATACTTCACAATTCTATGTTGGAAAAGGTTGATATCAATTTAAAGTTTAGCACATGCTTTATTGCATTTGAATAGATTCAATGAATGCTAGGCTAGCTATGATATTGCTATATAAAAAAGCAAAAACAAATCAGAATTATATGCTGAAAAAGGTAATTTAATAATTCAAAACATTATAGCTAATGCATTAAGAATACAAAACAAACTGAAAGAAGCTTTAATATAATATGATAAGGCTATAGAGCTGGATTCCTCTTAACCTAGTTTTCATTCAGGAAAAGGTGAAATTTGCATTTTTTTAAATTAGCTCATACTCTACAATAAATGAATCGGTTTGAAGAGGCTTTAAGTGAATGGCAAAAAGCAATTGACTTAGATCCTTCACATTCTAATTATTATTCTGGAAGAGGTTAAATCTAGTCTTTCTATAATTAGCATATACTTTAAGACAGTTGAATCGAAATGAGGAAGCCATATTATCTTATGATCTAGCAATATAAAGGAATCCTGAGAACTATGAACATCGTTCTGGAAAAGGTTTGATTATATATTCATTAATTTAAGCTTATTCTTTAAGACAATTGCATAGGAATTAAGAGGCTGTAGATTGTTTTGATAGTGCAATAAGCATCTATCCTGATGATGCTTATGTTTATGCGTAAAAAGGTTGATCAATCAAACCATCAAATTAGGAATTGCTTTAAGGGAGATGCATCGCTATAAAGACGCCTTAGTATGTTTTGATCAGGCTATTGAAAAGAATCCAGAAGATTATGAATACTTTATTCATAAAGGTTATATTAATAATAATATAATTTAGGCGACACTTTACGAGTCATGAATAGAGCTAAAGAAGCTCTAGATTGTTATCACTAGGCAATTTAGAGATCTCCAAATGATGAAAAAACTTATGAAGCAAAAGGTAAAATTAATCATCATTATTTTAAAGCTTAGGCATTACGACTTTAGAACAGGTATGAAGAAGCTCTGATATACTTTGATAAAGCAATTCAAATAAATCCTACAAAATGGATTTTGTACTCAGGAAAAGGTTTATATAAATTAAATAAAAATAGGTGATACATTAAGAGATATGAATCGTTATGAAGATTCTTTGAAATATTTTGATTTAGCAATTTAATACAATCCGGAGGACTCATAATAATATGGAGCAAAAGGTATAAATTAGATAATATAATAAGCTGATTCATTAAGACATCTTAATCGATTTGATGAAGCGTTAAAATATGCAAATTTAGCATTAAAGTGGAACCCAAATCTGGCTGATAATTATGAACTAAAAGGTATATATAATTCAAATAAAAGCAAACATATTAAAATTTTAATTAAAGATTGAAGAAGCTTTGAAGTTTTTTGATGAGGCAATTAAAAGAAATCCAGAAGGTTCTAAATATTATGCAGAAAAAGGTAGATATTTATAAATTAATATTAAATTTTAGCTGATACATTAAGAGCAGTTAATCGAAATCAAGATGCTTTGAAATTTTGTGATATAGCTCTTAGGATAGAACCGTACAATCCTAATTATATCCTAATCAAAAGTAAAGACTCATTATTTTCTAAGTTGTAACTCTAATGTAAATGAACCGTTGGAACGAATCATCAGAATTATATTAACTCTTATAATTTATTTGTCCAAATAAACAATAGCTTGAACATTTTAATAGTTAATATATAGAAATATTTTTAGGGGCTATATTAATCTAAATGTAATAATACAATTAAAGTTTCGGATAATATTGAACATATTTAAAATACCATATATAAAATAAATACACATTTGATTATATTAAAGTATTTATTTCCTTTCTCTCTAATAAATTCAATCTCTTATTAATTATTTTTGATGAAATTTTCAATTCATTAATATTATAAATATTTATCCAAATTTTTATATTCTTAAATCTATGAGAAAATTAAGAAGAATCTTATTTATAATTAATTCAGTCTTTAGAAGTGAAAATTAAGCTTTTAAAATAAATTAATAAATAATCTTATAAATTTCTGGATAATATTAGGTAATATTAATATATATAAATCTCTTCTAAATTGTTATCTTGATTAAGCATATTTAAATTAGATCTTATAAGAACTGTTTCTTAAATCAAACAAACATAAGCAGCCTATATAATATTGTTTACAAATCAAAATTTCTAATTATGAGTTCAATATTGTATAGTTTTAACATAAAGCTATTAAATGTAATTCTCAATATGCAATTAATCATAGTGTGCCAAATATTTTTAAGAAAATATAAATATTTTAGAAACATAGTAACGGAAAAGCCCATATTCTAATTTATATTTACAATATCAAATCGTTTTTTAGTTTCAAAATTGGATTGTAGAAATATTGAACAAATTTTTAAAAGATTTAAGTAGGAAAAATAGTAGTTCTTATACATAACCCAAATATTGTATTAAATATGCAAATTTATACTCAAAAATTGAACCTGGCTATCATAGATTATTCAACTTGAGAATCTTAAGTAATAATGATTAATTTAAATTTAATTTTTTAACGATTAAAATAATAATAAATATTATTATTTCTTTGTTGAATTATAAAAACATTATAAAATATATATATAATTTAGTTTATTGATGTATCAGTTACCTTGAAGAGACATCTAATATTTTTTTCTCTAAATAAGATAAAATTTGCGTTTACTTCTTGATTATGCTTAAAAATTTACTTATTAAATATGATTTGTAATCTCATTTATAAATTTGAGCCAAAATATTAAATTAAATTTTGTGGTCATTATGTTACTTAATATGAAATGAAGTTAATTCACTTCTTTAATATACTATTGCGCACATTTTGAATTCAATTCTGATATTCAAGTGTATCCAATTTTGTCTTATTACAAATTAAGCCATAATATAAATTACTAAAGACAAGATGAGAATTGTCCCAAATTACAATTAGAATTTAATTTTTTCTAATATAAACAATTAGTGTTCCCCCCTCTTTGCATATTTGGCAATTCTAGACCTCCATTAAAAATTGGAGATAATTATTATTTTCAAATTAACTAACAGAAAAAAGTATAATGTTTAATTCTATAAATAATTTTTGTGACCAATTTGTGTCTCTCTTTATAATACTTGTAGACTACAATAATAACGATGTAATAAATAATATAATAATATTTAGGTGATATTGATATTCAATACTTTAGGATATATATAAAATATATTAATACTTAACCCCCTTCATTTTTATTGTCAATAAGAACTTTGTTCTTTTTTAATTCCATAATTAAAAATAGTTCTCTAATGTATCTTCAAACCTCTAAATATCAAGTACTCTCGATGATTGGTTAAGGTTCTGCACACTAAGTGTTTAAAGCTGAGCACAATCTAACACAAAAGCTATTTGCAATTAAAATGGAAAAATCTCCTAAGTTAGGCCAAATAGAGGGTGAGATTAAAGTCCTTAAAGAATTAAATGGAATTGAAGGTGTTCCAAATTTAATACACCATGGAATAACCCCAGAGAATAAGTAATAAATATATAAATAAATTTAGGTGCTTTCTTATTATGCCACTACTAAATTGTAGCTTACGGGATTTAGTGAAATCTTAGCAATTATCTTTATCCTGCATATTGGCAATAGGATTAAGTCTTATTGAGACTTTAGAAAATGTTCATAAAAAAAATATTTTACATCTAGATATTAAACCAGAAAATATTATGATATCATAAAAAATACAAAAAAATTCAAAAGACTAACTTCTCAAACCTGGATTTATTTAACTCATCGATTTTGGGTTATCTCAAACTTTAGGAAATTCAAAATTCTTAAAAAATGTATTTATTGGCTCGTTAAACTTTGCAAGCAGAGCATCCCATAAAGGAGAATAATTAGGTTATAAAGATGATTTAGAAAGCCTATTTTATGTATTAGTCTATTTGAGAAATTGTATTCATTAATATTAACTCTAGGTAATTTGCCATGGTCTCAAAAGCCTTCTATGGGATTTAAAAATATGGACATAAAATTTATTGGAGAGATGAAGACTTCTATCTTTAATACCATGACATTATGCCAAAAATTTCCTTTGGAATTTTCAAAATTTATGTCATACATTAACGAACTTAAACACTATTAAATGCCTGATTATTCTTTAATTAAGGAGATGTTTATTAAAATGTTGCAAACAACCTCTTTTTCTCCTATAATGGATTAATTTTTGAATAATTCTCCTATATAATCGATTAATCAACTGGGAAATTCGGAAACGATGTAGCTTCCAATTGATAAACATCTTCTAAATAATAATTCTATCGAAACTTAAATTTAAGATGATATAATAGATATAGAAGCAAAGGTTGTTCATTTATCTGATCTGATTGGAAAATATACTACAGTTTAAATCAAATCCATATAAACATTAAATATTGACTATGATTATAATTTTTCTAATTAATGAATAAAAAATGACTTTTACACATAAATTATATTATTTTATAAAATAATTAATTAAATTATTATTCTAATTATTAAATATTAATTAAATTGGAATTCTCTCCTATTAAATATAATAATTTCTCTCATTAAAAAGATTTTTTCTAAGTTTTTGTTATTTAATCAATTTTGTTAGAGCTGATGAAAATCCAAAATTCTTGAAATACATCTTGTAAAAAGATTTCAATTTTTTACATCATCTATATTCTTTAACTTTCTCCTAATAAAAAGTTTTTAATACTATCTGCCCCTAGTACTTATAAATTGATATTTATTCTCAAGTTATTTCATTCTAGTAGATGTGTTTTGAAAATTCTATTAATCTATAATCTATCAATTCCAATTCTTCTATATTCATTTTTTCCACCTCCTTTTTTGTTTTAAATTAAACGCAGTCTATTCTCCTAGAGTTTTCTCTAATTACTTAATCCTTTTCTATTAATAATATTTAATTAATATACTTTTCTAGATGTATATCCTTCTTTGATTATAAATGCTATAATTTTATATAATCCACATCTATCCATTTAATTCATCATTTATATTTTCCTCGTATATATGACAAAATTAGGTTTACTATGCTACTAAATGATATTCTAAATAATGTTTCCTTCTTCAATATCATCTAGATACTGTTGTACCTAATTTTAAGGTTAAAAAAAGTTGTTTAATGATTTATTAAGTTCTTTTGAGGATTCTTCCTTTTCCACCTATAATTTTCTAAAGTTTATTTCTATTCTAATATCAAAAGATTTAGACTATATCAAATCTCTTCCTTTCTTTATAATTGTAGTGGTTTTATTAAATCTTTAAACATCAATTACTGATATGTTATGAAATTTCATTAAATTTCTCTCCTCTTTATCATGCATCATTAATCCCTCAGCATATTTTCAGATTAATTGCTTCTATTTATTTCCCTATGTCACATATTCTAACTCATTTGCTTAAAGGTCGAGATACTTTCTGTAATTTTGCACTCGAGCTATATGAATGATGTCAATGCTCTTTTCAACTATGAAGCAGCCTAAAATAATTTTAAAATATTGTCTAAGATAACTAATTATTAATAATTTATTTAGAGCTTAAATTTAATTATATAAATTTTTCATATTATAAAAATTAGAAAATGAATTAATCACGCTTGCATAAAAGTTATTAGGAAAATATTTGTTATTTACTTTATATCTAATCTTATAATTATTGTTACAATTTTATAATTACTTCTATCAAATATTATATTCTTTTTAAATTATTATTTTCTTTAACTTTCTTAAAATAATCGTTATTAAATGATAATCTAAAACATATAAATAATTGTAAGAAAATTAAAAAAAATACATGAAATTATGATTCTTTTAGTTTAAGAATACAATTCAACTCTTTCAATAAACAGAATTAGTCTATATCAGTGAGAAAATATGAACGTAAATAAGAAATATGGTTTTGACTTTGGGCTTATAAGAAAGGATTTAAATCATAAATAGAATAATTGTTATTTAATTAATTAAATGAATAAAATTATTCTAAATAGATTAATTTAATCAAAATCAATTTAGATAAAAAAGTAGCACAATAAATATTGCATACCATTTAAGTAATAATATTATTAGAAATAATCTACTTCCATAAAATATAATTGTAATCATAATTAAAATGAGTAATGATATCAAAATAATATTATTA